TCTGTTTCTTACATAAGTATATTCCTTTAGTCTGTTATAAAGCAGAAATTAAATATTAAAATCTTAAATATTTTAATATATTTTAAAACTCAAAATGTGTTTTTTTCCTCAAAGAGTCTAAATAATTTTGGAAAATGAAATGTAATGCCAATTTATATTCTGCCTTACATTCTATGAGGAAATCTCCCCCAATCTATTACCATTGTTCTTATTTCTTGATTTTGTGGTTGAATATATTCCATTCACTTTCTTATTTACATATAGTAAAACCCACTCATTTCTTGTTCAGTTCTATATGAGTTTTGATAAATGTATATAGTCATGTAACCAACACTTAAGTCAAAATATAGGACAATTTTGTCCTAGTATAAGTGGTATTGGTAGTGTTTGTCCTTGTGTGTCTGACATCTCACTTAGCATAATGCCCTGTGGGTTCATTCCTGTGGTTGCAAATGATAGGATTTCTATTCCATTCTTTTCTGTTGCCTCCAATCCTTGACTCCAAATTCCAGCACCCATCTTCTCCAGCCAGCCAACACCCACCCATGCCATCTGTCTAGATGGTCTCCACCAAAATGTCCTTAAAACATTTTGAGGGAGGGCATCATTCTCATGTATCTATAAAGTCTTTCTCAGAAGCCATCCTGGAGAAGAAAAGCTCAAGTAAGATGGTCACTCTTGGGATGACAGCTTGTGCATTTACTCCTGGGCAGATTTAGACCTAAAATCAGAAGCTCTGCTCTCCCTGTAAAAAAGGGTCATATCCTGGATTGCTACTGTCTTGTCCTCCCCATTAGGACTCGCTAAGGATATAGCAGGGGGGGTTCTTCCAGCTGACTTCCTGTGTGCATCTTTTAGGAAACTTACAGGAGAGATGGGTGCAGAAAGAAGTAGTAGGCGAGGACCCAGGGCCACCCACTGGAGTTTTTTACGTTGACCTCATTTCTAGAGAGTGGGCACAGCCAATGCTTGTGAGAAACCTGGCTATGTGCCATGGGTTTTTTGTTTTGTTTTGTTTTGTTTTTTGTTTTTAAAACCACACTTGACCTATGGAAACATTTAGATACCAAACCATGGGGGAGAGAGGCAGTGGTTGCTAGTTCAGAGGAGACAATGAGGCAGGCTTGCCTATAGATGACAAAGATGTCTCTGGGCCAAGAAGGGATCTTGTCTCACTTTTCTCCCATAATACATCTTAATTTACTCATCATTGTCAGCCTAAAGTCCATTCATAACATGAAGGTAAGGTTCCTAGTGAGTGGGTCCCTGTGTCAGAAAAGAGCTAGTTGTCCTTTGGGGATAAAGTGACCAGGAGCAGAGAAGTAGTTCTCTTGGTATGGTGAGAAAGTTCTGCTACCTCTCAGAGAGTTTGAGAGTCTATTCAAGAGGCTGGTTGCCTGATAACATGTTCCTGTGAAATTGTTTTAAAAGTTGGGGGGAGCTCCCTGGAATTTAAGTCAGCCTCCTGGCACCACAGAGGATCAGGTTAGTATCTCCATGGCATGGCCCTAATTGGAGTTGGGTCTGGACTTTAGAGAATGGGTCTAGCCTCGGTTTCCTTGTGGCTTTCTTCTCTGCTAACTACTTTAATAATTTACATAGGCATATGACAAGTTCTGTATCTCAAGTCCCTTGGTATTGCTAATTCTTACATAATATTTGGGGGTTTCTTTGTTTCTTTATGAAGTTTGCAATTTTTTATTGCTGGTTATTCACAGTGAGTTTTCCTACCTATGGGATTCCAATGTATATTGTTGTGTGTACTTGTAGCGAAAGTGTTGCCTTCCGTTTGATTCTTCTGGAGGGCCCAGGTGTCTCAGCACGCTGTAAGCAATCTTACATTCATTTGTGGTTTTGGTCCTACATAGCTCAGAAGTGGAATTCAACATCACACTCTTGTGGAAGATGTCAGTATTTCTGATTTTTCATAAGTCTGCGTCCAGACTTGAAGACGGGCAGGTTTGCTTGTCGTTTTCTGAGATGGTGATTGGAGCAGTTCTAGAGCCACTTTTTCTAAGAGGGAAATTCTTCCAAGGACTTGACTTTATCAAGTGTTTTTACTTGAGCCCATTTGTCGTCTTAAGCTCATTCCCATACTCCTGGGACTGTCTATGTTTAGAGTTTGTAAGCTATGTTGGAAATGATGGATTTCAAGCCATCACTCAATCACTTAAAGAGTGAGCAACCCCGAGGATGTCATTAACAATATATTCATTTTTTTGATACTTGAAAAAAAAACTTTATTGAACTATACCATACAATTTACCTATTTAAAGTATATAATTCAATGGTTTTTAGTACATTCACAGAATTGCTCAACCATTACCACAATGTAATTTTAGAATTTTTCCACCACCACAAAAAGAAACCCAGTGCTCCCTGGCCATTAATGCCAATTACCACCCCCCCGCCCACTCTGCCAGCACCAGGCAACCAGTAATCTACTTTCAATCTCTACAGGCCACAACGAACTTTTCACAGATTGTGGTAAAAATATGTAACATAAATTTTTTTACCATTTTAACTATTTAAAAAGTTTTTTATTGTAGCAAAAAACGCATAACATGAAATTTACCATCTTCACCCATTATACAGTAGTGTGCAGTACATTCACATTGTTGCTCCAGAACTTTTTCACCTTTCAAAACTAAACCTCTATATCCCCGAAGGGAGTTGTTCTTTGACAGACATAGGGTTTCATTTTAACCATTTTTGAGTGTATAGTTCAGTGGCATTAAGCATATTTACATTGTTGTGGGACCATCACCACCACGTCTCCAGAATTTTCTCATCATCCCAAACTGAAACTCTGTATCCATATATTTGTATCATTATTCAAATCATAACATTTTTTAAAGTTTTTTTTTAAGTAATCTCTACACTTAGTGTGGGGCTCAGACTCACAACCCCGAGATCAAGAGTCACATGCTCTATGGACTGAGCCAGCGGGTGCCCATCAAGTCATATCATTTGTGAGCATCTCTTTGCCCACATGATAGATGGATTGAATAGAATAAAATTCACAGGGTTGCAGCATGCTCCTGCAAATGAAGTGACTAGAATAAAGCCTCACATAGAAGTGAAGGTCATGGAATATAAGTCCCCATACTCTGCCCCTAAGCCAAGCCTTACACTTAACCTAAATCAACCCAATATATGAACTGTCGAGGCCAAAGCACTCACCATTCAGTGCCTGAAATAAAAAAGGCAGAGTGGAATTTATTTTTACTATATTAAGGGAGAGTTATGCTGGTGTGCTGGCCAGACGCGATATCTCTGAGTCTCTGAGCAGAGCCTACAGATGATCCTAGACAGGACTTTTGGGATTCTCAGGGCCTCTTGTGGTTTGGCATTATTTGTAAAAGATGCTTATTTGAGGGGGACTTTTGATTGGCTATCACTCACAGATGTGCTTACTGGAGTAAACCTGTTTCTGATTGGCTGACATTTAGAAACAAGGAGCTGATTGGTTGAATCACCAAGGCATTTTCACTAAGGTGAGTGGTCATTGATGATGGGTGAAAAACCGGTTCTGGTGGCTCCTTGTCATCATGGCTACAGGACGATATAGTCTTTTCCTAGGAGGGGGAGATCTTTTTATTCCCAGGGTTACAGTCTGCTTTTCCAAACAAGACCCTGGTGTGGATAAAACCAAATGTGTGAAGCTAATCTTCTCCCTCTGTCAGAATCAAACCCCATTGCATTCTTGGGTCCAAATCCTGGCTCTGATGTAAAGTCTCTGATTAGCCCTCGTCCGAAACTATGGCACTTTCTTGTAGTTTTATCTGGTCCAATCACTAACATTTCCTTCATCAACTTATTTATTCATAATCTCAATAAATATTTCTAATATTTTATGCCAAATACTACAAAGAGATGGATCAATAGACTAAGCAGTCTATCGAAAATTCCCAGAGGAAATGCTTGTTGGGGTTGTTTTCACAAGTCTATTGAATTTGCATTGGAGGCATGAGATATTTTGAAATGTTACAAATATACAATGGAATATTACTCAGCCATTAAAAAGAATGAAATCTTGCCATTTGAAATGATGTGGATGGAACTAGAGGGTATTATACTAAACAAAATAAGTTAGTCAGAGAAAGACAAATATCATATGATTTCACTCATATGTGGAATTTAAGAAACAAAACAGATGAACATAGGGGAAGGGAAGGAAAAATAAAATAAGACAAAATCAGAGAGGGAGACAAACCATAGAGACTTTTAACTATAGGAAACAAACTGAAGGTTGCTGGAGGGGAGATAGGGGGATGGGGTAACTGGGTGATGGGCATTAAGGAGGGCACTTGATATAATCAGCACTGGGTGTTATATGCAACTGATGAATCACTAAACTCTACCTCTGAAACTAATAATACAGTATAAGTTAATTAATTGATTTTAAACAAATAAATAAAAAGAAAAAAGAAATGTTAGTTTCATAAGAACAGGAGAGTCTTCTTAGCAATAGGGAAAGCCTGTGTTAATACACAAATGTCAGTGTAGGGAAAACTAGAAGCATACATGTCATGGAATATATGGTATGTTGAATGGACAGCATTAATAATTAATTAGTAGTATTAATAATTTATGGAATTCTAAGTGTTAAGAGCTTACCTAGAAGGATGTGAGGGTATCTGGTTTTGCTGATAAATTCAAGACAGATTGAAATTTTCAGCCAGACCTTCTGTAGAGGCTGGGAGAAAAACAGTCAGCAATGAGAACTGAGAATGCTTTGCATGATTTTTATCACAGGAATGAACTAAACCAAGACTATACCAAGAATTTTATCACCAACATATAGAAAGGTGGTATACAACTGTATCAGATATGTATAAGAAAATACCATTGGTGTGAAAATGGATCCAAAATTATTAGTGCCCCTTTCTCTCTTTTGTTCTCCCAGTAGCTCTGCAGGACTCCACAAGTGCTGACTCATTTCTACTTCAGCAACAGGTGTCTACCTTCTGGCTGTTAGGGGTTTGTCCAAAGGTCCATTATGTCTGACATTTCTGTTTACTCTGGCTCAGTTCAGGAAAATCTGGACAGTCCTCCTTGTGTGGAGCCTGATGGTTGTGCCAATTTTCAACCAGTATGGTCAAGAGAACCACAGGACCAGCACTGCCACACCCATTCGGATCAAATTCCCCATTGTGTAATCTTGTTTCATTATATCTGCAGACATAATTAAAAGGAGATGAGCGATCACTGGTCATGTTCCATTTCATCCCAACCCCAGGGCCCTGAAAAGGAGCTCATTTCCCTATTTGTGTCAGAACCCCTCCTCAATGAACTCATGCATTCACAAGTGCCATACTTAATCCTTGAGCCTGGGTCAAAGAGGAGTCTTGTGAACAGGAAAGGAGGTGACTATGGGGATGTTGTGTTTGCTTTTCATTCCCTCTTCATTTCCCTCAAAGTCTAGTCATATCCTTCCTTGCAACACCTTCATATATTTGGAATCCTAAATTTTCTCCTCTACACTTTCCTCACCCCACGTAACAACCTGTGTTCCTTTTTCATACATGACAAAGGATATAGCAGTGTTGGTATATGGGAAGTAGCTCAGAGAAAATTTTCAGATAATCTTAGGTAAATTGTATCTCCACTATTGTGTGACTGTTCACTAGACATTGCTGTTCTCTGAATCTTTAAAAAAAATTCTTCATTTGTTATATGGACTTTCTGGGCCCATGTTCCTTTCAAGCATGTGATAAAATACTGTGAAATGACAATGCTCAGAAATCATAGTAACTCTCTTGTTAAAATACTGAAATAATTTCAAATGGATTTGGAATTTCAAATTAGTTCCTAATTACAAAATGCACAATATTTTGAGTTTGAGAGGATAATACAGGATAGTATTATCCCAACACTGGGATAGATGATTTCTAAGACAAGATACTGTGGCTATCTGCTTTAAAGAAAAAAACTAATAAATTCACTCCTCCTCCACCAGTGCCCAATTATCTATGCACTGTTAAATGAAAAAGCACTCTAGCCTCTATGATCTTACAGTGCCATGACTACTATATGTGCTCAGCTTGTAGAGTGACTGGACAAGGTGGGCACGAGAGATGAATGTAGTTGCCCTGTGCAGCAGTCAGCAGTTGCTTTCCTTTGCTGTAACTTGTCTTCTGCCAAGTAGAGAGGTGCAAACACTATGATAATGGGTCTCATATTAGAGTTTTTAGAGTTTTTTCCACAAGCCATAAATTTCCAGCCAATCACTCAGAGCGGCCTATAGTACTGAAGGTTAGTTTAAGGGTTTCCAGATGCAACCAAGGATGTGAAGAAGAGAGGTGGGTTAGTCTGAGGTGGTGTCTGGGATCTATTGTCTCAACAATGCCCCTTAACGTGATTCTGAACTTTGGCTGCTCCATTCTCAACAGACCACATGTTTTTAAAGGGCGCTGTCTGGAGAACTCTAGGAGAGGATGTGAAAATCAAATGGGGTGTGGATGAAAGTCTTTCTCTCTTCACAGCCTCTACTGCCCCCCTGTTCTTTCTCAGTGTCCCTCTTTGTATTCCTGCCGGAGGCCAAGGCCCTGAGGAGGAGGAGGGCTGGGGTGCACCTACCTGTGACCACAAGCCCCAGGGCATCACTGGGGGCTGACCACACATAAGGGCTGCCGCTGTACCAACCATAGCACCTGTAGTTCCCTGAGAAGCTTTGGTTCACAGGACGTAGAATGAAGTTGCCTTGGTGTCTGCCATTTTGGTTCTGTGACAGGGTGGCTCCTCCTTCCTTGATCAGTGAAAATCTATCAAATGGAATGTATGCTGAACTGCACTGCAGGGAGATATTCTTCCCTAGCATCACCACAACACCCTGGTCAGCAGAGAAGAAGGGTTTGTTGTAGAAGCCTAAAAGAGAAGAGAGTAAGCTAATAGCAAGATTTTTCTTCCTTTCCCTGTTATCCCCACCACTCCTATTGGATCCATGGTAAGAGAAGGGAACATGCTGATGTTCCCTGATCCAAAGGAATGGGAACTGGGAACTTCCCATTTCACTACCCCAGGACCCATACTCTGTCCCAAACTATTCAGACAGGGCTGAGCAAGCAAGCAGCCTGTGGGGCTTGGATGAGATGCCATCTTCAAGAGATAGAGATCTTGTTTCTAGAGCCATAAGACCCATATGATTCTGTTTCCAATGACAACATGTGGGGTTTGCACCCACACCACCAAGCAGTCCTGAGACACCCACTGCACATCCCATAATTCAACTTAATTCTGACACTATCTACCTGGAGATAACATCAGATCCCAAAGATTAAGGGCTCAGTCCTGAGAACGCTCCCACTTCAGATGCCAATCACAAGCCTCTCGAGTCACCAGTGCTTCTGACAGAATGCCTGTGAACCCCTTCCTTGGGTTCATTTAATTTGCCAGAGCAACTTACAGGCTGAGGAGATCAGTTTACTTACTAGATTACTGGTTTATTATAAAGGATACAATCAGGGACAGCCAGATGGTAGGGATGCATAAGGCCAGGTGCCCTCTCCAGGTGTGCCTCTCTACCAGCACCTCCACGTGTTCACCAACCTGGAAGCTCTCTGAACCCCATCCTTTTGGGTTCTTATGGAGGCTTCATTCCCTAGGCATGGTTGATTAAATCTTTGGCCATTAGCCAATTGATTCCACCTCCGTCCCTCACCCATCCCTGGAGGTGGGGGTGGGGTCGGACTGAAAGTTCAAACATTTTATTCACATGGTCGGTTCTCCTGGCAACCAGCCCCGGTCCTTAAGTGGGGTCCAAAAGTCACCTCACTAACATAACCTCAGGCAAGGTAGGAAGAAGGGGTTTGTTAGAATATCAAAACACTTTACCATTCTTAGTCATTCAGGAAATTCCAAGGGATTTAAGAGCTCTGTGGCAGGAACAGGAACAAAGACCAAATATATAGTTCTTATTATAAATCACAATATCACAAGCTATATTTGGGGAAAAGGGGGAATAGTACCCAAAGAGTTTGAGGAGCTATGTCAGAGGCTGAGAGAGGCGACATTATGTAAAAAGAATGTTAGCAGGTGAAAAGACCTGGAAATTCAGGATGGACCCTTCCAGAAACAAACCCTTCTAGAAACACAGGGTCAGGCCACCCTGAGGACAGAGGGCTTAAAATCTAGGGCCGGACTTGTGCAGGGAGCATAACTTCCCCCTCCTTAGGTACAGGCTGCATTTACTGATTTCTATCCATACAGAAAGTCTCAGGAGGAGAAACCTGCACAGGCTATCTCAGCCAGGTGCTCAAGCTCAGCATCAACAGCCATATTCACTTGTATGGTGTGTACCCTTAATGTGAAGTGGTGAAAATGGCACTGCGCTTCTGTGGTCTTCCTCACAGTTACCCCAGGAACCCTGTCTTATCACGAGAGAAACATCAGACAACTTCCAGTACTGGGGCATCCTACAAAGTATCTGACCAGCCCTCCTCGAAACTGCCACAGCCAAGAGCAACCTAGGGAGAAGTGACAACTGCATGAAGTGTGGGATGGGATCCTAGCGGAGATGAATGACCGCTGCCTAAAAGCTAAAGAAATCTTTTTAAAATTTTTATTTAAATTCAATTAGCCAACATATAGTACATCATTAGTTTCAGATGTAGTGATCAATAATTCATCAGTTGCCTATAACACCCAGTGCTCATCACATCAGGCGCCCTCCTGCATGCCCATCAACAGTTGTAAAAGCTAAGGAGACCTAAATAAACTATGCACTTTGGCACATGCTAAGTTATCCATATTGGTTCATTAATGATAAGAAAAGTGCCATACCAACAGAATATGTTAACAACAGGGGAGAGTGGGTGATAGGTATATGGGGATGTTCTGTCCTATCTTCTCAATTTTTCTGGAAACCCGAAACTGTTTTAAAAGTAAAGTCTACATCAAAAACTAATGATGCTTTGGTAAATGGATCCCATTTACAGTAATCCCCAAACCGTAAGATACCTCGGAATAAACCTAACCAAAGAGGTAAAGGATCTATATTCTAGGAACTACAGAACACTCATGAAAGAAATTGAAGAAGACACAAAGAGATGCAAAAACATTCCATGCTCATGGATTGGCAGAATGAACATTGTTAAAATGTCTATGCTACCCAGAGCAATCTATACCTTCAATGCCATCCCGATCAAAATTCCAATGACATTTTTCAAAGTGCTGGAACAAACAATCCTAAAATTTTTGTGGAATCAGAAAAGACCCGAATCACCAGGGAAATGTTGAAAAAGAAAAACAAAGCTGGGGGCATCACATTGCCCAATTTCAAGATATATTACAAAGCCGTGATCACCAAGACAGCATGGTACTGGCACAAAAACAGACATATAGACCAATGGAACAGAATAAAGAGCCCAGATATGGACCCTCAACTCCATGGACAAATAATCTT